CATATGCCAGGGCTATGATATATGCCAGAGCTATGATATATGCCAGGGCTATGACATATGCCAGAGCTATGATATATGCCATGGCTATGATATATGCCAGAGCTATGATATATGCCAGGGCTATGATATATGCCAGAGCTATGATATATGCTAGGGCTATGACAGGGCTATGACATATACCAGAGCTATGATATATGCCAGAGCTATGATATATGCCAGTGCTATGATATATGCCAGTGCTATGATATATGCCAGAGCTATGATATATGCCAGTGCTATGATATATGCCAGAGCTATGATATATGCCAGAGCTATGATATATGCCAGAGCTATGACATATACCAGAGCTATGATATATGCCAGTGCTATGATATATGCCAGAGCTATGATATATGCCAGTGCTATGATATATGCCAGAGCTATGATATATGCCAGAGCTATGATATATGCCAGTGCTATGATATATGCCAGTGCTATGATATATGCCAGTGCTATGATATATGCCAGAGCTATGATATATGCCAGTGCTATGATATATGCCAGTGCTATGATATATGCCAGAGCTATGATATGTGCCAGGGCTATGATATATGCCAGAGCTAAGATATATGCCAGAGCTATGACATATGCCAGAGCTATGATATATGCCAGGGCTATGACATATGCCAGGGCTATGACAGGGCAATGACATATGCCAGAGCTATGATATATGCCAGGGCTATGATATATGCCAGAGCTATGACATATGACAGAGCTATGACATATGCCAGGGCTATGACATATGCCAGAGCTATGATATATGCCAGGGCTATGATATATGCCAGAGCTAAGATATATGCCAGGGCTATGATATATGCCAGGGCTATGACATATGCCAGGGCTATGACAAATGCCAGGGCTATGACATATGCCAGGGCTATGACATATGCCAGAGCTATGACATATGACAGGGCTATGACTTATGCCAGAGCTATGATATATGCCAGAGCTATGATATATGTCAGGGCTATGACAGAGCTATGATATATGCCAGAGCTATGATATATGCCAGAGCTATGATATATGCCAGGGCTATGACTTATGCCAGAGCTATGACTTATGCCAGAGCTATGATATATGCCAAGGCTATGATATATGCCAGAGCTATGATATATGCCAGAGCTATGATATATGCCAGGGCTATGACTTATGCCAGAGCTATGACATATGCCAAGGCTATGACATATGCCAGAGCTATGATATATGCCAAGGCTATGATATATGCCAGAGCTATGATATATGCCAGACCTATGATATATGCCAGAGCTATGATATATGCCAGAGCTATGATATATGCCAAGGCTATGATATATGCCAAGGCTATGATATATGCCAGAGCTATGATATATGCCAGAGCTATGACATATGCCAGAGCTATGATATATGCCAGGGATATGATATATGCCAGGGCTATGACATATGCCAGAGCTATGACATATGCCAGGGCTATGACATATGCCAGGGCTATGACATATGCCAGAGCTATGACATCATTAGCCAGGGCTATGACATATGCCAGGGCTATGACATCATATGCCAGGGCTATGACAACTCAGCTGACTCAGAGGCCAAAATATTGAAAATGGGGATCGTCATGGCCAGACGCCCGAGTCCCAGCATAGAAATATCAATAAAAGAATACAACTGGCAATAATCCACGGGCCACTTGCCTGGCCTCGGCGGGCCACTTGCTTGCCTCGGCGGGCCACTTGCTTGGCCTTGGCGGGCCACTTGCTTGGCCTCGGCGGGCCACTTGCTTGGCCTCGGCGGGCCACTTGCTTGGCCTGTGACCGCCAGTTCAACAGCCCTGACATATGGCATCGGGTGGACTGTTACTTCACTTCCTTGGATGGTGCTTTTTTTGTCTGTCATCCCGTCATGGAGTATAGGCTATAACTAACCCGTATCCAGCTCTTAGTAGAGCTAAGTTTATATTCTGCAGCTAGAAATGTATTCAGGATGAGGAGCCAGTTTTGCAGCAACTATCCTTGAATGCCTCTTAGGACACAGTCAACAGTTATTTTCACAGAAATGCTAGCAAATCAGTTTACCATTCTTATGTCTCCATTTTGTTCTGTCTTGTGCAATCCTTCCAATAGCCTGGATGGAATTCAATACAGCATCTTTGGTCTCTCTCATGAACGTTTATGTTAGGGGTTTCTGTGTGTGTGTGTCGGGGGGGGGGGGGGGGGGGGGGGTGGTGTGTGTGTGTCTGTGTCGGGGTGGTGGGTGGGTGGGGGGGGGGGGGGGGTGTCCTTAGTTCTTCGATCTCTTTATTTCCAATTAAATGCCAGTTTGGTCGATTCAGTAGTGACAGTAAAACATTTTCTGGTAAGAAACATTTCACTTAGGCCACACAAATAAATAACAGGCATGTGTCGTAAACAAATAGGAATTAAAGTGGTAGATGTGACAGATTTTTATTTTGCTGAGACCAAATATAAATTGTGCAACCTACATGTTTCTTGTTTATGTCAATGAGACTGGAGATCACTGAGTGGTATGTAGGTTGATAGCAGTCAATCTTTAGTTGGCAAACTTATTTGGTGTCAAACTTATTGAATTTCCAAGTCTCAGAAAAGACTGTTACACAACAAATGCAAATTTTGACTTTTCAATATGCACAATTTTCCAATCAGCAATGTCCATGTCTTTCAAACCTGGAAACTAACATAAATATGACATAAATATTTATTACAAACCAACCAATTGAAATAAAACAAATATTTATATCACTTTATAGACCAAGGGTGTGCTACAGCCATTGTGGACGAAAGCTTTCGGACGTCCATGCTGTTTTTCTTCATGGTTAAAGGCCAAGCAGAATTCTGAGGTGATGTCAATCTGCTATCAGTTGTGTATGCAAGTCTCCAACAGTCCACCCATCTGTCACAGGACCTCTATCTACCACACATCTGTCACTGGACCTCTATCTACCACACATCTGTCACTGGACCTCTATCTACCACACATCTGTCACTGGACCTCTGTCTACCACACATTTGTAAAACCAGAACAGCAGTGTGGTTCTGTATCATCACCACATTGTCTAATCATTGCCCTTTCACCGCTTTGACCTACATCCCAAAAAAAAACATTGCCAAGATCCCGTATTTCAGGAATTCTTTGGAAAATTCCTTACACCAACAAATATTTTTTGTACAGGTGTAACCAAAAAAAAAAAAAAAAATTAACTGATCTATGGATCAAAACACAAAATACCATACACATGGCTGGGTGTAATTAATTTTAAAAAAAACAACAACAATGATGCAGCAGAGAATTAACTCTTTCGAAGTCTTCAGAATATTCTACTGTAAACATTGCTTGACCCAGTAATGTGGTAACACTACGACTAATGGGGTCATACGATGTCAGAATATTTACAAATTAAATCCATTATTTTTGTGTGTGTACAAGCAAACCCCTCTAAATGGGAGCCGCCGTGGTCTAACGGCTAGATGCTTGCCTGCTAATTGGAAAGTCCTGGGGTCGGGCCCTGACATGGGCCACATTTTTTTTAAAAAGGACCTTGGACCCAAGCCTTGAGTGGGTACCAGGTACAGTCCTGGGAAGTAAAGGTGGCCGGCGTGATGCTGACCACATCACCCACCAAGTGCTGTTTGCTATATCAAATATATGTCTAGCCCTATATACCCAATACGCCTGTAGGCGCAGAAAAAGGTCCTTCAATTTATTAAACCCCTCTCAATTATATTTTAGTAAATGTAATCATTTTTGGTCCTGCTAAACATTTGTCGTGACACAAACAGAATCAATTTTGTTAGCTAGAATTCTCATAAACATAACAGATTGCCAAGATGGCACCAGCTGACAATGCCAGGGCTTCTTGGGGAGGCAAGTATGAGTTTACAAAAATCATGTTGTGCCACGGAATCGATCTGCAGTGCCACATGTCTTCAGTGACAGGCCTCTGTACATGATCCCTGACTGACATCTCTGACACATGTTAATGGGGTGTTCCTATCACTAACTGTCTCGATGTGACCTTCACACCACAAAATATGACAAAGTATTAAAGTGATCTTTTGAACTGCTCTCAGCAACTGCTGTTTGTGTTTACTTTTCCATAAATATTATAATTTGTTTTTTTTTTTCTCAATTTCAGTTGATCAACTGCACTCTGTGAAAAATATCTTAAATAATTCTCCAATGTCTGTGATACACAGAAATATCCTAGAGGCCACTGAAACAGAAAGAGAAATATATTCATGTGTATTGATTGCCATTTACAGAAGTGAAGACAAGAAATAGAGAGTTTACTTCTATGACAATTGATTCTGTGACATCCCATGAATCATTACTCAACATGGCTGTAAATCTCGTATACAAGAGTATGTCTTGCTAGTCACATGTGCCACTGCCCATGCCTCCCCATAGCACAGTCTAAACACTGTCATCTGGATGGATGGCAAGGTACCAACAACAACAACAACAATACCTAGCATGAATTCCTCCACCCAAGACATTTCTATGCTGTGACAGAAAAACAGACCTGACTGTTCTCTCCAAGTTCAAGGACACAATGAACCTCCAAGTTCACGGACAGGTGAAGTATTTTCATCAACCTCAGAGTTTAATCGTTTGGCTGCAAGAGTTGCCCAGTTAAAACCCAAAAGAATAATCACAACAATGAAAAATATCAGCGCGAGTCAAATTGATGCCAAAGGGGCAACATAAAATATATTTCATCTTACATATTCAAATATCTAGACATATTTTTTCAGTATTTTTCCAACAAATGCAAAGAACAACAACACAAAATGCATTGCTTGAAAAAGATGGGAAATAGTTGATCACATTTTGGCCAGTGCTTTCAAGATAGACGGACAAAAACCTATTGTGTGACCCAATGGTGAGCATCTCACTGCAAGAAAACATATTCCTGACATATGTTTCACTAGAAAGAATATAGCTATAGACTTATAAATAACCACCCATCACCGAACCGAATCGATACAAGATCCCACGCCAAGAACCACAGGTGTTCGGTTTAAGTGGGTCCCAAACGAGAAACAGTTGCCACCGCCTCCAAGCACAACAATCTTGTCCTCGTCCAGCTTGACCGACGTATGCCGATGGAACATGAGGAGGCTACTCTTGTCTTGTTCCTGAAACACAGATGTGTATATGTATATGTGTGTCAGTGACAGAACACATGGGACACTAATGACATACAAGCAATTATACAGGTGCACGTGCACACACACACACACAAAGCACAACTACACACAAACATCACAGTCTATATCAACCTTGAGAGAAGTTGCAGAGAACATATCCTTGGCACAGGGAACAGATCCTTGGCACAGAGCAGATCCTTGGCACAGAGAACAGATCCTTGGCACAGAGAACAGATCCTTGGCACAGAGAACAGATCCTTGGCACAGAGAACAGATCCTTGGCACAGAGAACAGATCCTTGGCACAGAGAACAGATCCTTGGCACAGAGAACAGATCCTTGGCATAGAGAACAGATCCTTAGCACGGAGAACAGATCCTTGCCACGGAGAACAGATCCTTGCCACGGAGAACAGATCCTTGGCACAGAGAACAGATCCTTGGCACAGAGAACAGATCCTTGGCACAGAGAACAGATCTTTGGCACAGAGAACAGATCCGTGGCACAGAGAACAGATCCGTGGCACAGAGAACAGATCCTTGGCACAGAGAACAGATCCTTGGCACAGAGAACAGATCCTTGGCACAGAGAACAGATCCGTGGCACAGAGAACAGATCCGTGGCATAGAGAACAGATCCTTGGCACAGAGAACAGATCCCTGGCACAGAGAACAGATCCTTGGCACAGAGAACAGATCCTTGGCACAGAGAACAGATCCTTGGCACAGAGAACAAATCCTTGGCGCAGAGAACAGATCCTCGGCACAGGGAACAAATCCTTGCGTGTGCTTCATGGTTGTGTTTTGTTAGATGTGCTGCTAGAGTAGTTTGTGCCCATTGTTTCATGCGTGTGCTTCATGGGTGTGGTTTGTTAGATGTGCTGCTAGAGTAGTTTGTGTCCATTGTTTCATGCGTGTAATTCATGGGTTTGTTTTGTTAGATGTGCTGCTAGAGTAGTTTGTGTCCATTGTTTCATGCGTGTGCTTCATGGGTGTGGTTTGTTAGATGTGCTGCTAGAGTAGTTTGTGTCCATTGTTTCATGCATGTGCTTTATGGGTGTGGTTTGTTAGATGTGCTGCTAGAGTAGTTTGTGTCCATTGTTTCATGCGTGTGCTTCATGGGTGTGGTTTGTTAGATGTGCTGCTAGAGTAGTTTGTGTCCATTGTTTCATGCGTGTAATTCATGGGTGTGGTTTGTTAGATGAACTGTTAGAGTAGTTTGTGTCCATTGTTTCATGCGTGTAATTCATGGGTGTGGTTTGTTAGATGAACTGTTAGAGTAGTTTGTGTCCATTGTTTCATGCGTGTGCTTCATGGGTGTGGTTTGTTAGATGAACTGTTAGAGTAGATTGTGTACATTATGGCTCTGTGGCTTAGAGTTTAGTGAACATGTAATGCTCGACGTTTACAGGATGCCATTCCTCCGCTGCACATTTTGGGAAAAAGATCTTTGTGGTTTTTGAGCTCAACAATTCAGTGATACTGTATTAGAAGTTCTTGCAAAATGGCAAACAGCCACATAATTTTATTACACAGTTAGGTAGACCTCTGACCCAGGATTGTTTCAGAAAAAAAAAAAATCACAATCAATGACACATTTACAGGAAATGAAGGTTTCAAACCAACTCACAGGCAGGGCAAACTCCAGAGCCTTTCTTGTCCTCAGATTGATGACAGCCACACCAGGAGGTGGATGGTGCAGGTTCACACCCCCAACCAGCAGAAGAATGTCCTCATGAACCAGATGGCTGGTGTGTGAGTACCTGGTGACAGTCACCAATCAGTTAGAAACTTCTAGCAGCCAAATCATGCGCCTATGGGCTGCATACTCAATGACCTACCATTAAATAGTCTGTATTAACCACTTCATTTCTTTCCGGGAAAGGGGTGGGTGGGGGGTTAAATGACAAATAGGAGGGCAAAGAAGAACCTGCCTGGAAAGACAACATCAAGAAATGGACAGGACCAAGTTATCAGACACTTGCTCAACAACTGGAAGACGAGAAAGATAGCGGGTTTTGTCTGCCAGTGCTTCCATTGATACACCTCCACGACCCTGATGGGTCAAGGGTTATGTTATGTTATTTACCACTTGGGGGCAGGTGCGGGGGTTCTGTAAGCCTGAGGATTAGGGCCACATGGCCAATGCTGTCACTACACTGCCACTAGAGCGTGACAGGGCTCCTCAAGAACACAAAGACCAGTCACAGTCTAACCCACTAAGTGTACGGTAAACAACTGTGAGACAACAACAATGGATGGACTGTTGGGGCAGCAAGTACATCCACAAACTGTAGACAACAATGGATGGACTGTTGGGGCAGCAACACCGACAAACCACAAAACTGTAGACAAACAATGGATGGACTGTTGGGGCAGCAAGTACATCCACAAACTGTAGACAACAATGGATGGACTGTTGGGGCAGCAAGTACATCCACAAACTGTAGACAACAATGGATGGACTGTTGGGGCAGCAAGTACATCCACAAACTGTAGACAACAATGGATGGACTGTTGGGGCAGCAAGTACATCCACAAACTGTAGACAACAATGGATGGACTGTTGGGGCAGCAAGTACATCCACAAACTGTAGACAACAATGGATGGACTGTTGGGGCAGCAAGTACATCCACAAACTGTAGACAACAATGGATGGACTGTTGGGGCAGCAAGTACATCCACAAAACTGTAGACAACAATGGATGGACTGTTGGGGCAGCAAGTACATCCACAAACTGTAGACAACAATGGATGGACTGTTGGTGGCAGCAAGTACATCCACAAACTGTAGACAACAATGGATGGAACTGTTGGGGCAGCAAGTACATCCACAAACTGTAGACAACAATGGATGGACTGTTTGGGGCAGCAAGTACATCCACAAACTGTAGACAACAATGGATGGACTGTTGGGGCAGCAAGCAAGACACATCCTGTTGGCACACAAAACTGGAGACAACAATGGATGGACTGTTGGGGCACAAGTACATCCACAAACTGGAGACAACAATGGATGGACTGTTGGGGCAGCAAGTACAGCCACAAACTGGAGACAGCAATGGATGGACTGTTGGGGCAAGCAAGTACATCTTAGTGGGGACCCTTTCATGGTGGGGATCCTTTCATAGTGGGGATCCTTTCATAGTGGGGATCCATTCATAGTGGGGATCCTTTCATAGTGGGAAACATTTCATAGTGGGGACCCTTTTATAGTGGGGATCCTTTCATAGTGGGAAACATTTCATAGTGGGGACCCTTTTATAGTGGGGATCCTTTCATAGTGGGGATCCTTTCATAGTGGGGACTGTGTGTTTGACAAAGTACAGACAAGATGGCACATTCCTGTCTGATTATGAGGCACAGTCTAATTCTTTCTGACCATCCTCATAGCCCCATAATACCACACCTCACTGGTTCAGCAGTTGTCTGACCATCCTCACAGCACCACATCTCACTGGGTCAGCAGTTGTCTGACTATCCTCATAGCCCCATAATACCACACCTCACTGGTTCAGCAGTTGTTTGACCATCCTCACAGCACCACACCTCACTGGGTCAGCAGTTGTCTGACTATCCTCATAGCCCCATAATACCACACCTCACTGGTTCAGAAGTTGTCTGACCATCCCCATAGCCCCATAATACCACACCTCACTGGGTCAGCAGTTGTCTGACCATCCTTATAGCCCCATAATACCACACCTCACTGGTTCAGCAGTTGTCTGACCATCCTCATAGCCCCATAATACGCCTCACTGGGTCAGCAGTTGTCTGACCATCCTCATAGCCCCATAATACCACACCTCACTGGGTCAGCAGTTGCTTGACCAGCCTCATAGCACCACACCTCACTGGGTCAGCAGTTGTCTGACTATCCTCATAGCCCCATAATACCACACCTCACTGGGTCAGCAGTTGTCTGACTATCCTCATAGCCCCATAATACCACACCTCACTGGGTCACCAGTTGTCTGACCATCCTTATAGCCCCATAATACCACACCTCATTGGGTCAGCAGTTGCTTGACCAGCCTCATAGCACCACACCTCACTGGGTCAGCAGTTGTCTGACTATCCTCATAGCCCCATAATACCACACCTCACTGGGTCAGCTGTTGTCTGAACATTCTCATAGCCCCATAATACCACACCTCACTGGTTCAGCAGTTGTCTGAGCATCCTCATAGCCCCATAATACCACACCTCATTGGGTCAGCAGTTGCTTGACCAGCCTCATAGCACCACACCTCACTGGGTCAGCAGTTGTCTGACTATCCTCATAGCCCCATAATACCACACCTCACTGGGTCAGCTGTTGTCTGAACATTCTCATAGCCCCATAATACCACACCTCACTGGTTCAGCAGTTGTCTGACCATCCTCATAGCCCCATAATACCACACCTCATTGGGTCAGCAGTTGCTTGACCAGCCTCATAGCACCACACCTCACTGGATCAGCAGTTGTCTGAGCATCCTCATAGCCCCATAATACCACACCTCACTGATTCAGCAGTTGTCTGAGCATCCTCATAGCCCTATAATACCACGCCTTCAGCAGTTAATGACCAGTTCCCTCCAGCTCTGTCAACTAGATACAGTGGACTTGATGTCTGCATGGATAGGGCCATGGTTATTCAACCAGTTTCTACATTCAAATCTTTCTTGATCTGTGTCTTCTCCCTCTCTACAGATCCTTGTAATTTCCTCCAACAAATTTGAACACAATGGAAGACCCCTGTGCATACTGCACAAGTCAAAAGTCTTTCGGAAGCTGGAAATTGATAATAGGGGTTAAATTTCAAAATTAGAAAATACAAAAACAATATTATTGTCAGCATACGGTTCATAAACAATGAGTATTTTACCCAGAAATGTGTCTAACCTTGCATAGAAGTTGCCAGTGATTGGCAGCTTCTCCCAGATTTTTGTGGTCAAGTTCAGCAAAAACACATCTTCTGATGGCAAACTGGCAACATTGAGACCTCCTGTTAAGACAACCTGGCCATTCCAGTGACTGACACAGTGGGAATGCAGGGCACCTGGCACGTCACCGACACATGACAGCTGATGCAATCAGAAAATGATACCCTCACTCTACACACATGTCACACAATATTCATCATCAACAGCAAAAAGTCAATATAAATAAAGAACACATCTGATTATATTAATTTCCCACATTCCTCTTCTACTCTTTATCATTTTACAACATAACCTGAATTTTTTCTCTTGTGACCCATTCTGACCTTTTAATTTTTTTTGCTTCTTTAGTCTGTTATGGAATGGATAGGTACAGTCAAGGATATCCAGATGTGCAAGGTAACGAGCAGGCTGACTGATTGGCTGCTGCCCTTCCTCTGGGTGGTGAGCTACTTTATGATAAAGTGGACTGTGGTGAAGGCTCTTTGGGAACTGGACAGGGTCCACACACTGAAACACTGAAGGGGCGGACGGGGGGCAGAGGTTCTGGAAGATATTCAACTATGGAGGAGGGGGGGGGGGGGGGGGACAATTTTAACCAGGTGGCAGCTGGTACTGTTAACATGTCAACTCTTTGCTGGTTACTACAGAAGGAAACGGAGCATGTGTGGAAATGTCCAGAGTGCAGTCATGTCAATCCTTGATTGATTGATTCATTCATTCAGCTGCTGTTAACATGTCAACTCTATGCTGGTTACTACAGAAGGAGACGGAGCATGTGTGGAAATGTCCAGAGTCCAGTCATGTCAATCCTTGTTTCATTCATTCATGAATATGTACAACAATTATGAATAAATTTTTTTTTTAAACATTGAACAGAAAGGCAATAAATGTATCTGTGGTTGTACAGGTAACAACAATAGATTCTCCTTGTGCCACATTCAGTTAATAATAATATTATACACAATATAGCTGATCTGATATGCCATCATGATTATGTACAAGTTTTACTTCATGTTTACATCCGGAGACATGGGGGTGGGGAATGCTGGACCCAGGCCCCGATATAAAAACTATATAAATGGATGTGGAAATCACACCCAAGGTGCACTGACAAGTCACAGAAGGTACTACAGTACTATCAGATGTCAGCATTAGCATGCGGCCTCTCCTGCACACATGTAACTATCGCAGCACCACACCACGCTGACTCTGGGTTCCTGTGCAGGTGGTGTGTCTCAGTGAACAGTCAAGTATTTGGCTTGGGTGTACTTAAGGCCTTTCACAAGCAATATATGGTGCAATACCCATGACTGAATATAGAATTATTTATGGGCTGTACCAGTCCATGTAGAGGAGATGCACCAATATAAGAATGTCACTGGGTCATTAGGACTCCAGCAACTTCAGGATCAAGAACCCAAAACAACCTATCTAAAACTGTGGCCGAATTAAGAGATAAAGCAGGTCTAACAATCGAGACTCTCATGGGTCAGTGTGTTTCAGAGAGAGAGTGGAGAGAGAGAGGGGGATAGAGAGAGAGAGAAAGCCAGAGAGACTCCATCACCTCTTTTTAATTTTCACCCCGGACGAACAGAAAGAACAATTCCTGAGAGAATGTAAGCCACATCATAGAGAAGTAAACAATAAACAACAACAATAACAAACAGCATAGTCAAGTAAATCTGTGTGTGTGTGTGTGTGTGTGTGTGTGTGTGTGTATACCTGCTCCCAAACATGGCTGAAAGGGTCGAAGAGATAACTGTCGCCAAGAACTTCACCAGTTTTCGTTTTGCCACCATGCAAGAAGATCTTCTCTTGACCTAAAACAGAAAGTCATTATTAACAGATGTCAGAAATATGACCACATGTATGTCTTCAGTGACCTCTGGTCATGCACTAAATCCACTGGGGGCCATAAACTGTGATGTCAGCTCAAGGTCTCTTAGGTTTCCCTAAAGCTAGGATCTCACAACTACTGGGTGTGGCCACATGTTGTTTCGCAGCTCTTCCAAGAGAGAACAGTCTTGCAAGAAATGTTCTGGGAGTGGTTCTTCTTCTTGTTCTCTGTTCACCTGCTGTAAGCTCTGGCGGAAAGTCCTGGTTGTTTGTCCATTTGGACTTCGGCTTTGTGCCAGGGCCTGAGTTTTGTGTGTACATCCATTTTACTGGCTTATTTGTGTGCAGCTGTTTGTTCCTTGCCACTCTGGCAGATGCAGCCAATTAGTTGACTCCTACAACATGCTTGTCTGGAAGGCAGGGGGTCCATTCTGGTGTCTGGGAGGCAGGGGGGGAACTGTTCATTCTTGTGTTTCCCCCAGGAGGGAACTGGGCCCTGAGAACCCACACGAGGAGGGAACTGTTCAGCCAGGAGGGAACTGTTCAGCCAGGAGGGAACTGTTCAGCCAGGAGGGAACTGTTCAGCCAGGAGGGAACTGTTCAGCCAGAGAGCTGTTTCACTCATACCTGATATACAGCAGTGATGTACAGCAGTGTTGGCTGAGTGTGTAAGGTCCCGCCACATGTTGGACATCAGTATCAACATAAGTCAGTATGAAGGTATCCAGGTGAGCTGGGTGTTATGTTGTATGTTGTATGACTATCTATCCCCATGGAGCCACTGGCCGAACTGCCTTGAGCACTGTGTAGGGGGTTTCAAATTAAAACCTTAAAAGTGTGATTGAAATTACATTAACCTGTCAATATTGTTGTTAAGGATGTCAAGAGTGTTAAGCATGAGACATGGTGTAGACAAACATGGTGAAGTCATAACAACATAACAATATACACTTGCTGGACTGTCAGACTAGACCTACACTGGCCAATGGATTTCTATAGGTTAAAAAAACATGAAATGTTGCACGCTGTTCTGTCTGTCACACAGTGTAACAACAGCACACCCAAGTGACGTTACTGTTCCAGATGTTGGTTTTGCTAACGAAAAACAATCAATCACACCTAGTTGTTACTTATGTATGATATAACAGCTACAGTTTCCTGTCCACAACACAAGAGCAAAAAAAAAAAAAAGATTTTTTAGAAAATCAAACACTTACCATTAATTACTACATCAGTTGCTGCATGTCTCCATCTTTCCCTTGGCACACCTCCCTTCTGATTGACAACAGAAATATGCACACATCCCATATGAAATGAACAAGAGAAGTCACTATCTGAACCATTTTCCTGATGTGCAGACTCAGGGTCAAGGTTAGAATCACAAGGAAATGAACTCTGAACATGATCACAAGTTCTGGAATCACAGCCAGGCTTTTCAAGGTGTGTGTCTCCAAGTTCTCTCGTCAAATCTGTCGTTGATTGTGAAGACACAGATGATTCTGTCAAGGTACTGGATTGATGTGAACCTCCAGTGGACTGGCCAGTTGCTCTGACATTGCTGGCAACACCTGGTGGTAGGTTCTGTTTGTTGTCGTCTGCTGAGTGGTCCGAACAATGTTTATCTTCAAACTTCTGTGTCAGGTCACCTTGCTCTGGCACTACGTTGAGACAAATTTTCAACATCTGGTTACACATAAAGTATGGCGACTGTCGACCACCAATCAGGAATGTGGCACCATCTGAGAGTGAAACTGAGGCGTGGTGCATGCGAGAACCTGAAATATGTCATAAATACGACTTACTCAAAAACATTCTTCATAAAGACATTTGTTATTTGGAAGAAAAAGTTTTAATTCTAGATAAAATTGGAACACATTACTTCTTTATTCAATATTAGCCATGCGAAATGGGACAGTGCATCTAAGGGCACCGGCAGCCTCCTAAAGTTTGTCTTGCAGTTTAGCTCAGTTACATCCTCAAATGAACAAGACTGACTGACTTTCTAACCCACCAGGACATCACACAAGCGATAAACACCCAAAGACAAAATGTGCTACCATGTGGGTGAGGATCACTGTGGAGAGGTCCCAGAAACCGCGTTCAGCCTTAAGGCCATATTTATGGCCAGGCTATATTGCAGTCCCTGGCAAGAGCCGGAGTAGGGCTTCAAATAACGAAAAATTTCATCCTAAAAGGACTGGAAGTAATGAACAAGAAAAAAGAAGAAGGTCAATGTTGTACTGTGTTACTGTAGACTTAGGCAAACCTTGACAGAATAGAGATAAAAACAATAGAGGATGTAACTGCTCTGGTTATGTTGTACTGTGTTACTGTAGACTTAGGCAAACCTTTACAGAATAGAGATAAAAACAATAGAGGATGTAACTGCTCTGGTTATGTAGTAGTGTGTTACTGTAGACTTAGGCAAACCTTTACAGAATAGAGATAAAAACAATAGAGGATGTAACTCTCTGGTTATGTTGTACTGTGTTACTGTAGACTTAGGCAAACCTTTACAGAATAGAGATAAAAACAATAGAGGATGTAACTGCTCTGGTTATGTTGTAATGTGTTACTGTAGACTTAGGCAAACCTTTACAGAATAGAGATAAAAACAATAGAGGATGTAACTCTCTGGTTATGTTGTACTGTGTTACTGTAGACTTAGGCAAACCTTTACAGAATAGAGATAAAAACAACAGAGGATGTAACTGCTCTGGTTATGTTGTACTGTGTTACTGTAGACTTAGGCAAACCTTTACAGAATAGAGATAAAAACAATAGAGGATGTAACTGCTCTGGTTATGTTGTAGTGTGTTACTGTAGACTTAGGCAAACCTTTACAGAATAGAGATAAAAACAATAGAGGATGTAACTGCTCTGGTTATGTTGTACTGTGTTACTGTAGACTTAGGCAAACCTTTACAGAATAGAGATAAAAACAATAGAGGATGTAACTGCTCTGGTTATGTTGACAGCCTGCCTGTGATATCTGCCTCTTTCGACACATCAGTTGTCTGGAATTTGTTGCCTAGGTTAGCATTACCTGTGATATTTGACTCTTTGAACTGACACATTTAATGTCTTGAATTTGTGTGCCCGGGTCAGCATTACCGTATCAACTACTATGATTACGACAATTCATGGCCCAGGTTTGATCCATCGTTAGCTCAGAGTACAGCCAAGTTCAGATCTGAACGTTAAACTCCAGAATTATTTGGCAATTTAACAAAATTAGATCAAAAGCATTGTATGACATAATTTACTCCCCGACAGAGGGCATCGAATGACAGACATAATGTATGATACAATGTATCATGACAGACAGAATTTACTCCATGACAGAAAGTATGACAGGCATAATTTACTGTATGATACAATGTATCATGAGAGACATAATTTACTTCATGATAGAAAGTATCATATCACACGCAAAAATTACTGTATGATAGAATGTACCATGACTGCCAGAATCTACTCTATGTTAGAAATTATCATATGACAGACATAATTTACTCAATGATAGAAAGTATCATTTAAAAAAAACAGAATTTACTCCATGATATAAAGTATCAAATGACAGACAGAATTTAACTCTATGATAGAAAATATCATGATACTTTACTCCATGATAGAAAGTATCATGACATAATTTACTCCATGATAGAAAGTGCCATATGACAGAAAGAATTTATTCCATGACAGAAAGTATGACAGGCTTAATTTACTCTATGATACAATGTATCATGAGAGACATAATTTACTTCATGATAGAAAGTATAACAGGCAAAATTTACTGTATGATACAATGTATCATGAGAGACATAATTTACTTCATGATAGAAAGTATCATATCACACGCAAAAATTACTGTATGATAGAATGTACCATGACTGCCAGAATCTACTCTATGATAGAAATTATCATATGACAGACACAATTTTTATCTATAATAGAAATTATCTTATGACAGACAAAACTTACTTCACTGTACAAGGTACAATACCTCTGTACGACAACAGGAGATGACTAAAAAACTTACACTGAAGGTCTGTCGGACAGCACAAGATATGAGATGACTGAAATGTCTGCATGTCAGTGACAGTAATCTCGGTCAGCCTCTGATGTCGTCCATCAATCTCTCCGAAGCCTCCGGTACTGACTGCATACCGACCTTGTACCAAACTGGAGGCATGACCAAACCTGCGCACAGACTGGGCATTTTCCGCCAGCCGGTTTATTGACACGATGTTGGATATTGGCGGATAACAGTTCACTGCTGACAGAACAGAAAACACAAGCAATTAAATGACAGGATATGACATGAGACTGTTTCTATATTCCAAGATGTAAATAAAGAAATCATGGTTGGAGATTTCTATGAGACAATTAAAAGCTTCACTTGTATCCCTGCCTACAAGCCTAGTGGTCACAGGTTTGAATCCCTGTTGTGTAAAGATTGTTGAAATGAGCCTGGATTTTTAGGTTTTTTTGTCAGCGTCTGTGGTTTAGGTGCTGTAAACACAGTTCTTAGGTAGACGCCATGGCACAGCGGCTAGACGCTCACGTGCGAATGGGAAGGTTGTGGGTTCGCTTCCTGACCGAGTCAGACTTTTTTCAAAAACGACCTTGACTCCCAGGTTAACCAGCCTTGAGTGGGTACCAGGTGCAGTCCCAGGAAGTAAAGGCGTCCGGTGTGATGCTGACCACATCACCCACCCTGTGCCCTGTGGTCTATAAAAATATCGGTCTAGCCCTATACGCCTTAAGGCGTGGAAAAGGGTCCTTTAACTATTTGTAAACACAATTCTTAATTCTGAGGTGTCGGGTTTAAGCCAGCTGCAGACAATTTGGCAGCAGACCAACTTGCATTGCTTTCAAAAGCCAACCATTCAGAAGCCATGGCACATTACTGAATGTTGTGAAGAGCTACACAATGCTGGGGTTGATTCTGCACGTCCTGTAAGAGCTAGCAATTAATTCCACTTCTAGGTTGATCCAGCATAAAAAAGGAACTGGAAAATGTCTTGGGAAGTAACGATGACAGGCATGAAACTGACTAGATCAACTATCAAGCGATAATCGAATGGTCTATAAAATATATATATTCCACAAGGCATAAGAATGAAACCTTTACTTGTGTGTACTATAAGACAGTTATAGTTTAGACTCATGTGTGGTGAACTATGCTCTATTGCAGTAATTATGTATTTCTGTGTAGCGTGACAGACAGCCTGGTTAGAGTTTTTCTGAGATGTTTTCAAACTAATAGTATCAGATAATTATAAGTTACTGACAAAAGTAGGAAAGTGCCACTAACCTTGGCATTGTTCAGTGTGACGAGCATGACTATGTGGGAAACAATTATATGTCAGAGTTCTGTCACAGTCTTTGACATCTTACAGTGCGACGAGCATGACTATTTGGAAATCAATTATATGTAATAGTTTGAGTGCTGTCACAGTCTTTGAGATCTTTCAGTGTGACGAGCATGACTATGTAGGAAACAATTATATGTCAGAGTTTAAGTGCTGTCACAATCTTTGACACCTTACAGTATGGCTGTATCTGTTAAGAGCATGAGAACCCTTGATGCTTTAACATAAAACGTTGTTTGCTTGTTTGAACCAATCTTATCTAAGCAGTTAGTGTACAACAAGAGCCTGGCCTTAGGCGTGGCAGATGGAGAAAAACATCCGTTCCAGTGTAGACATAAACACACACATAGGACAACAACTGATATCTGAAATATTACTGGACATCCCACCTGGTGGAAAGACGCCCTCACCAATGAGGCTACGGTTGAGAGAGACAGTAGAAGCTGTCAGAATGAAATAGTGGGAATATTTCAGGTTGAGTTCCTCGTATTCATCAAATGTTTCCAAGCTCTCGATCCGCCTGCGCTCACTGGCAGGAATGTGATAGTAGTAGAATGTGTTCATGTCTAACACCTCACACCAGGCCCATCCCTGAAACATACAACAATAGTCAGATCACACCAGGCCCATCCCTGAAACATACAACAATAGTCAGATCACACCAGGCCCATCCCTGAAACATACAACAATAGTCAGATCACACCAGGCCCATCCTTGGAACATACAACAATAGTCAGATCACACCAGGCCCATCCTTGGAACATACAACAATAGTCAGATCACACCAGGCCCATCCTTGGAACATACAACAATAGTCAGATCACACCAGGCCCATCCTTGGAACATACAACAATAGTCAGATCACACCAGGCCCATCCTTGGAACATACAACAATAGTCAGATTACATCGTGCCTATCCCTGCAACATATGACAATAGACAGATAACAACAGGCTCATCCCTGCAATGTACAACATTAGTCAGATCACATCATGCCCATCTCTGCAACATATACCAATAGTCAGATCCCATCAGACCCATCCATGCAACACACAACAATATACAGGACACACTACTAACATCCCTGCAACATACAACATTAGACATGCCATATTAGGTGCAACACTGCAACATACATCAATAGGCAGGTCACACCAGGCTCAACTCTGCAACATCAGACAAGAGACAGGTCAACCAGACCTATTTATGGAAGAAGAAAAAAAAAGACATGTAACATCAGGTCCACTCTGCAACATACAACAATAGACATGTGGCTTCCGGCCCAACACTGCAACATACAACAATAGGCATGTGGCTATAGGCCCAACACTACAACATACAACAATAGACAGGCCACACCAGACCCCACAAAGTAACACACAACAATAAACATGACACACCAGACACATCCTAGCAACATAAAACAATAGACAGGCCACACCAGACCCCACAAAGTAACACACAACAATAAACATGACACACCAGACACATCCTAGCAACATACAACAAAGAGCTCTGACACCTCTCGCAAGGTATATCACAACAACATCAATCAATCATCGATCCTCATTGCACCCAGAGGCACATAAGGCTGAGACAAACTGTTGCCACTCAATGCAATCCTGAGCCATCCTCTTTATCTCCAGTTTTGTCCTTCGTGTAGCCTTGAGTTCAGCATCAAAAATTTGCCTCCAAGTGCCTCTGGGCCTGCCTCTTCCTCACTGTCGTTGTGGTGTCCACTGCATTGCCTGTCTCAGCCGTCTCTCTTTCTTCATTCTGAAAATGTGTCCACTCCACCTCCATCTTCATTTTTTTTAATTTCTAAATTTACATCTTCTAAGTCTGTCATTTGTTGTAATCTAGAATTGCTGATGTTATCTTCCCATGGAAACCCCAACTTCTGAGAAGTGTTCCCTCAAAACCTCTGAGCAAGCTCTCTTTCTTTCTGTCTGTTTTCCAAGTTTCGTGTTCCATAGAGGAGAACTGTCCTTACTCATGTTTTGTATATGCTGAGTTTAGTGTTACTGCTGTAGATGTTTAATCTCCAGACACCCTGAAGTCTGCTGTAGGGAAAATTTGCCTTTACAACATACAACAGAAACAAATGACATCTCAACCCAACATACAACATGCCCTGACATTCACCCACAGACTAAACATTATAAACTAATTAACTGACATTACTGTGTTTACCAATTCCAGGGTGGTAAAGGACAGAAGGGGTGGGGGGGGGGGGTGGGTGGGGGGGGGGGGGGGAGGGGGTGTGTGTCTAGTGCTATATTTTGCCACAAGTAGAAAATCTCCATCACACACTGAGGATCAAACCTGGGTCTCCTGTATGACAGCCTTGCATTCTAACCATTCAGCCAGCCAGTCCTCATGGGTCTGGGGACAGGTGTTTGCTATATCAGAGTTGCAGAAGGGGAAGAGAAAGAGAAGATATAGAATGCTGTACAAATCTGAAACAGCTAGACAACAAATAATAACAACATCAACTATGACATCATCAGATGACGGAGAGGATTGGAGAGTCCTGATCCAGACAAGGCACTAGAAGAAGAGGTTTACGCTAAACTATACATCAACTATCACATCATCAGATGACGGAGGGGATTGGAGAGTCCTGATCCAGACAAGGCACTCGAAGAAGAGGTTTACGCTAAACCATACATAAAGCTGACACAAACTGCTCCTAAATAAACAATATTGTTCTGATATAGTCAATCTTGAGCTAAACTGATGTAGGCAACCCTGAGATAACCACACTACTCTGAGATAAACAACCCTGAGATAACCACATTGCTCTGAGATAAACAACCCTGAGATAACCACACTACTCTGAGGACCCCATTTTTGCCCCCTTGTAATGTCAGTAGAGTTCATTCACAATGTCATTCTCTGTCTCATCTGAAAACTTCTGAAACAGATAACTTCCAGCAAACATGTTGAATCAACTTCTTTTGTGGTGCCAAACACTTAACAGGCAAATGCAATGATTGGCTGAAACTTTCATTATAAAAATGAACAGTGATTCCCTATGTAAACAGGAGTTCATGATAATTTGACGTTACCCTGATAATTCACATGACCATTGTGAACTTTTGGCGATTAGACGAACATGTATCAAGAGACCATGTGATGTGTATTTCAATGGAATTAAGTTGCTGTGCTTCATTATATGGGAAGGCAACTCAGTAGTAACACACCTGACGAGATACAGTGAAATAGGCAAACCACTGCTTGTTTCCACATTATTTAAATTCACAACAGGAAAACACTGTTTTGACTGAGTATGAAATGACTACATTATGGTATCCAAAAACTAAGTAAACAAATTAAACAAACAAATAAATTACAGAATGACACAAAGTATATTACTTACCTGAACCAATCTGAATTTTAAAGAGGAAATAAATGAAAAAGTTGTCCCTCTTGTCGGTGAGAGGAGGCAGTTAGTGAAATGTGATCAGTGAGAGTAAGCTGTAGGAAACTTGGCCGTCCAGTGGTAGGATGAGGGCACAGAACACAGCAGGAAGAGATCACATGCATGTATATAGAATATATGTAAAGCTGACATATACTGTGTGTATTCCAACCTGTTTAAACTTTGAAGTACATAAAATAATTACAAACCCTCAGACTGTACAAATGACTAAGCCAATTGCTCACATACAAACACATCATTGAACATGACCACCAATGACAACATGTAAAACATGACCAACAACCATAACTGTGATTACATTCTTACATGAACAGACCAAACGCATCATCAGGGTTCATCTGAAAAAAAATAACAAAATGTGTGAAACTTTTTATTGGAAATATTTACACAGAAATGTAAATTACAGTGTTGTATGATGAACTAAATATTATATTCTAATAACAAACGTTAAAACAAATATATGTAGTTCCAAACATTGATATATTGTTGATTATATATGCATTATTTATAGTAATAATTTGTTCATTTACAAATATATCTAAGGTTGACAATGCTGCCTAATGTTGGCTGAACACAACCAACTTTAAAACGGCTTCAGTGCTCCAATTGTCAGCTCTAACTGAGCAATGTCATCTGAAAGCCAAGTACCTGACTGTTATGGCACTGTCATCTGAAAGCCAAGTACTTGAATGATATGGCACTGTCATCTAAAAGCCTAGTACCTGACTTGAATGTTATGGCACTGTCATCTGAAAGCCAAGTACTTGAATGTTATGGCACTGTCATCTAAAAGCCTAGTACCTGACTGTTATGGCACTGTCATCTAAAAGCCAAGTACTTGAATGTTATGGCACTGTCATCTGAAAGCCAAGTACTTGAATGTTATGGCACTGTCATCTAAAAGCCAAGTACTTGAATGTTATGGCACTGTCATCTAAAAGCCTAGTACCTGACTGTTATGGCACTGTCATCTAAAAGCCAAGTACTTGAATGTTATGGCACTGTCATCTAAAAGCCTAGTACCTGACTGTTATGGCACTGTCATCTAAAAGCCAAGTACCTGATTGTTATGGGAATGACATCGTGGAATTTTGAGATGATGATGACACCAATGAGATGCAGTACCCAAACATGACTCTGACAGAATAAAATCTCAGCTGTCACAAGTCTGCTACAAACAAAAGCTGCCCAAAACTTAGCCAGTGCTCAAGCTGTGGTGATAATGTTGTTGCTCCTTCGCAAGTGATGAGGGCCACTCATTCTTTCATCTGTCATGAAACTATAGTTGATTGTCTGTGGATCTGCAGGTGATGAGGGCCACTCTTTCTTTCATCTGTCATGAAACTATAGTTGATTGTCTGTGGGTCCGCAGGTGATGAGCACCACTCTTTCTTTCATCTGTCATGAAACTATAGTTGATTGTCTGTGGGTCCGCAGGTGATGAGGGCCACTCTTTCTTTCATCTGTCATGAAACTATAGTTGATTGTCTGTGGGTCTGCAGGTGATGAGGGCCACTCATTCTGTCATCTGTCATGAAACTATAGTTGATTGTCTGTGGGTCTGCAGGTGATGAGGGCCACTCATTCTTTCATCTGTCATGAAACCATAGTTGATTGTCTGTGGGTCTGCATGTGATGAGGGCCACTCATTCTTTCATCTGTCATGAAACTATTGTTGATTGTCTGTGGGTCCGCAGGTGATGAGGGCCACTCATTCTTTCATCTGTCATGAAACCATAGTTGATTGTCTGTGGGTCCGCAGGTGATGAGCACCACTCTTTCTTTCATCTGTCATGAAACTATAGTTGATTGTCTGTGGGTCTGCAGGTGATAAGGGCCACTCTTTCTTTCATCTGTCATGAAACTATATTTGATTGTCGGTGGGTCCGCAGGTGATGAGCACCACTCTTTCTTTCATCTGTCATGAAACTATAGTTGATTGTCTGTGGGTCCGCAGGTGATGAGGGCCACTCATTCTTTCATCTGTCATGAAACCATAGTTGATTGTCTGTGGGTCCGCATGTGATGAGGGCCACTCTTTCTTTCATCTGTCATGAAACTATAGTTGATTGTCTGTGGGTCTGCAGGTGATGAGGGCCACTCATTCTTTCATCTGTCATGAAACTATAGTTGATTGTCTGTGGGTCTGCAGGTGATGAGGGCCATTCATTCTTTCATCTGTCATGAAACCATAGTTGATTGTCTGTGGGTCCGCATGTGATGAGCACCACTCTTTCTTTCATCTGTCATGAAACTATAGTTGATTGTCTGTGGGTCTGCAGGTGATGAGGGCCACTCATTCTTTCATCTGTCATGAAACTATAGTTGATTGTCTGTGGGTCCGCAGGTGATGAGGGCCACTCATTCTTTCATCTGTCATGAAACCATAGTTGATTGTCTGTGGGTCCGCAGGTGATGAGCACCACTCATTCTTTCATCTGTCATGAAACTATAGTTGATTGTCTGTGGGTCTGCAGGTGATGAGAGCCACTCATTCTTTCATCTGTCATGAAACTATAGTTGATTGTCTGTGGGGCCGCATGTGATGAGGGCCACTCATTCTTTCATCTGTCATGAAACTATAGTTGATTGTCTGTGGGTCTGCAGGTGATGAGGGCCACTCATTCTTTCATCTGTCATGAAACTATAGTTGATTGTCTGTGGGTCCGCAGGTGACTTGTAAACCCAATATGGATCCAGAAGGATCTGGGACAATGACTGCGCTGTACAGCTGCCCCCCCCCCCCTTTTTTTTTTTTAGATAATTAGCAAGTCACTGCTACCTCTTCAGACAGACGTTGGCTAGAATGTCTGGTCTTGTCTTCAGACAGACACTGGCTATAATGTCTGGTCTTTTCTTCAGACAGACATTGGCTATAATGTCTGGTCTTGTCTTCAGACAGACATTGGCTATAATGTCTGGTCTTGTCTTCTGACAGACGTTGGCTAGAATGTCTGGTCTTGTCTTCAGACAGATGTTAGCTATAATGCCTGGTCTTGTCTTCAGACAGACGTTGGCTATAATCTGGTCTTGTCTTCAGACAGACATTGGCTATAATGTCTGGTCTTGTCTTCAGACAGATGTTGGCTATAATGTCTGGTCTTGTCTTTAGACAGATGTTGGCTATAATGTCTGGTCTTGTCTTCAGACAGACATTGGCTATGTCTGGTCTTGTCTTCAGACAGACATTGGCTGTAATGTCTGGTCTTGTCTTCAGACAGACATTGGCTATAATGTCTGGTCTTGTCTTCAGACAGACATTGGCTATAATGTCTGGTCTTGTCTTCAGACAGACATTGGCTATAATGTCTGGTCTTGTCTTCAGACAGACATTGGCTATAATGTCTGGTCTTGTCTTCGGACAGACGTTGGCAATAATGTCAGTTATTGTCTTCAGACAGACGTTGGCTATAATGTCTGGTCTTGTCTTCATACAGATTTTGGCTATAATGTCTGGTCTTGTCTTTAGACAGACATTGGCTTAATGTCTGGTCTTGTCTTCAGACAGACTTTGGCTATAATGTCTGGTCTTGTTTTCAGATAGACGTTCACTATAGTGTCTGGTCTTGTCTTCAGATTGATGTTTGTTATAATGTCTGGTCGTGTGCAAGCAAAGTCTCAGGTGTCAGGGTTTATAGTGAAGGCTGTACGTGATCATGGCTACAATACATGGCCAAACTTATAATATCAAAGCATCAACAATAAGACTTCACTTACTGAATACCTTCTCTGCAGAACTCTTTAGATTTAAAAAAAAAAAAAATCAAGCACATACCTGTTCATACATTCCAAAAATGGCCTCCTCAAAGGTTTCTGCTGCCCACTTCACCAATTCTGTGGAACTACAATCAGAGAGTGTTTATCGATCAACCCTAGTCTTCACTTTGTTGTCTCTGACATAATTAGTCTGCTGTATAAATCTATGAGCTACTTTTCTGCCCTCTATTGTTTCCTCAAATCTGCAGGCTAACATGTACCTTATATCATGGTCCATTTTTGCTGTCAGTCCAAACAGTTTCTGATAAGAGACAACCAAAGAGACAAGCAAGGACAGTGGTCATCAGACCGGCCAGCGAATGTCTATAAACTGGACTTGTAGCTGCAACATGCAACCAATCAGGAACAGGTCCGCACAGGGCTGGGTGTGAGGTGGTTAAAGGTCTAGGCTTCATTAGAAGATCTTCTTTTGTGTTTGCCCTGAAAAAAACCAGTCTGCACGCTGTGTTGTGGTTTACAGCTTGGTTGCGATATCTGTGCCATTCAACTCAACACAACAGATTTAACCAAACTTCTATTAATTGCCTGTTACCACATGCTCGTTGTGAAGCTACCCCCCCCCCCCCCCCACAATGGGGCTCTGGAACCCATATGGGTTTACTACAAGAAAAAAGGCAGAAGTTGAGTCTATGTTGTGTGACTTGTCCAGCTTTATCTACGGGTGTGTACACAGGAACAATATCTCCAGAACATAATCATGTACCAGGTCCTTTGTGGATGTTGATCATCACAAGTGAGAGACATTTCCAATCTACCACTAGTTCACCTACTCATGCATTTTTTTGCCAATGTTTCTTTAATTTTCTGTGTCCCTCTTCATGGTGTTCAACCCTGCCCCTTCTTCCAACAACAGCCTTCCAATTAATGTTCAAAGTCACAACTAAACACACACAATGAAAAACTGCCCTTACCATCTACGGGTCATGTAGGTCATGACACACTCAGACAGGAGCAGGGTGGGACACTCAAAGTCAACAGCACACATTTTGAGAGCTGCCTCCAAGGTGTTCAGCTGGGTCAGATCCACACCAAGCAGGTGGTAGTCCCGACAGCTCAGCTCTGCCAAACACACCATTTACAAATGATCAGTTACTTCAAAACATATCATCTTAAATCCCTGTATGGGTTCTGAGGCCCCACTGTGCGGAAAACAAGAAGAGACCTTCCCAAAAGGGCATGTTGTAAAAGTCGACTAACTGTGAGCTTCCTTCAAAGTCGGAGCGCATCTGCCTGAGTGGCAAGGAATAAACAACTGCCCACAAATAAGCCAGTAAAACGGATGTAAATGCAAAACTCAGGCCCTGGCACAAAGCTAGAGTCCAAATATACGAATAATTAGGACTTTCTGCCGAAGCTCACAGCCGGTGAACAAAGAAGAAGAAGATATAATCATAACAATAACATGAAAACCAACAACTTGCATCACATCAATATATGCATGCTTCTTCTATTCTTCATTCAGCCTTAAAAGGGCAGTTAAATGCTACAATGTAGTTTACAGCTAGGCTGCAATATATGTGCATTTCAGGCCCAAAACATTCACTTTTAACAAATTATTAAACAGTTGTCTTTGCTGACATGATTGTTAGGCAAGCAAGTAGGTCTATCCTTTTTTAGGCCACCCACACAAGGAGATTTGCGCAATATGGCAGCAGACCTCGACAGGATAGCGTCTGTGTAGAAAAATTTTTATTTATGGCAAAACTTTCTAGAAGCTTCTGTTCCAGGTGGTTAAAACTTCCAGGCCTGACCTCACTAATGTACAAGTACAAAACACAACAAAATACAATTCAATACTAGTCTATGCCTGGCAAATGTTACAGAATACAAAAAATCTGGACAGGTTTACTCACTGGAGCAGAAGATAGCCGGGTCAAACTTATCAAAGACATGGCATAGATGTTCGCTTGCACATAAGGCATGGCACATGATGCTGATAAACACACACAAGGAACATTCTTTTTCTTTCACTCGCTTGAAATAGATTATCTATATCTGCAATGTTGTTCTCTAGTATGAACTTCACTGTCTTTTGTAATTCCCCCAGAATTGTGACAGAGTGTCTCTTCATGGAGACGGAAACTGTGGTGGACATTCACAAGCGTCTAGTCTATGTTGTGTGTACGGAAGTGCTGCCATCGACAGGAGCGCATTCACAAGCGTCTAGTCTATGTTGTGTGTACGGAAGTGCTGCCATCGACAGGAGCACATTCACAAGCGTCTAGTCTATGTTGTGTGTACGGAAGTGCTGCCATCGACAGGAGCACATTCACAAGCGTCTAGTCTATGTTGTGTGTACGGAAGTGCTGCCATCGACAGGAGCACATTCACAAGCGTCTAGTCTATGTTGTGTGTACGGAAGTGCTGCCATTGACAGGAGCACATTCACAAGCGTCTAGTCTATGTTGTGTGTACGGAAGTGCTGCCATCGACAGGAGCACATTCACAGAATGGGTTCAGGGAATCAAAGAATCAGGTAGTGGAGATACACAACTGTTTGATCAGCCATGCTGGGGACCTCCTGTAGAGCCACCAAATCAGAAATGTTGAAATGTGCTGGGGGCATTATTCTGACTAAAAGACACATGGCTACTCAACAGCTGCCAGTTAACAATGCTAGTGCAAATGCAATCTTAAAAAACTCTTGGACTTTCAAAGGTTTGCACAAGATGGGTCCCTTGAAATCTCAAAAATGACTAATGTTTACAAAGATAAGCAATTTATTTTGGATTGTTGAAGTTTTTCAATGCCAAAGGGGATAACTGTTTTGGCTAAAATCAGTTCAGATGACAGGCCAGCGGAGATAATTTTTTGGCTTAGATCATTACAGATGAAGAAACCTGGGCATATAATTTTGAACCTGAGACAAAAATAGTCAATGGAGTGGCATCATTGGCAATCATCACCAAGAAAGAAATCAAGAGAACTCCTTCAGCTGGTAAGACATGATCACTGTCTTTTGGGACAGGAAAGGTGTGATTCTCGAGGGTGTTGTGCCAAAAGTAGAGACAGTAATTTCCCAAGCTTATATTAGGACACCGAAAAAACTCAAGGTTTTTGCAGGGTCCATCTGTACAAGAATCTAGCTGACCTGCTTCAGCCTCACACAAGTCTGGCAAACACGGAAAGCAATGACACATGACACTGGACTGTACTACTAGCTGACCTGCTTCAGCCTCACACAAGTCTGGCAACACGGAAAGCAATGACACATGACACTGGACTGTACTACTAGCTGACCTGCTTCAGCCTCACACAAGTCTGGCAACACGGAAAGCAATGACACATGACACTGGACTGTACTACTAGCTGACCTACTTCAGCCTCACACAAGTCTGGCAACACGGAAAGTAATGACACATGACACTGGACTGTACTACTAGCTGACCTGCTTCAGCCTCACACAAGTCTGGCAACACGAAAAGCAATGACACATGACACTGGACTGTACTACTAACTGACCTACTTCAGCCTCACACAAGTCTGGCAACACGGAAAGCAATGACACATGACACTGGACTGTACTACTAGCTGACCTGCTTCAGCCTCACACAAGTCTGGCAACACGGAAAGCAATGACACATGACACTGGACTGTACTACCCCAATAAGAAAGAGACAAACACTGTTCTTTGGCCACATAATCAGAAGAGAGACATTGGAGAACATCGTGACAACTGGAAAGATCAGTGGAAAAAGGGGGTAGAGTCAGACCAAGAGAGATGATGCTGGATGGGCGTTGGCATGGAGGGATATCATCAAGAGAGCTGTTCCAGAACTGTGAGGAGACGCATGAGCACCTACACCAGTTGGCAGGGCACATGATGATGATGTACTACCCCATCCACCCTACAGTCCTGATTGAGCAGCCTCTGATTCTCATTGGTATGATCCCACTTAGAGATGCACTTCATGGGTTAAGGTTTGAAGATGAAAGAATGATAACTGCAGCCAAGAAATGCTTACATGATCAAGATAAAATCTAGTACAGGCTAGGGACATGCACTTGTTTTGTGATGGCATGAAACCGTACAAACTGATGGGGATTATTTAAATAATACTGGTTTACATGACATATACAGTGAATAAATCGCATGCTTTTTGAACAGGCGGCTCCTAAGAAACACAATGTGGTGTGCTACTTTCTGAACACCCTTCGTATTATTTTCTTGGTCCTTTCATCTGCAAATGAAGGATAGGCCTTAATTAAATCACGACAAGCCCTTTGTAGACTAGTCCATGATTGGTTGAATTTTACAACTACAGTCTTCTATGTGATGAGATAGCCAGTCTTATGCCAATCCTCCATAGCTGCCTCTTGGGACATGCATGAAAAGTAACTAGTGCTTCTCTTAGCTTTCCTTACAGGTCCTAATAACACAGGGACCAATGCTTTCTGCTAGCAGGAGATCAAACAGACGTCATAACAAGTTGTGTGCTGACATTACTAAGACAAAAATTACACAATCAAAGACAAGTTACCTATATGAGGCGACAGTGGTGACTCATTGGTCTTCTCCACCAAGTTCCACAGATCTTCTGTGTTTTCAATCAGCAGTCGTTTCTTCTTCACAAGCTCTGGAAAGTCGATCTGCACAAAATAAAGTATAACATAGAAATAAGACTGGCATGTACTTCATTATGTTTACACTATTGTATCATTTTCGTCTCGTGTGAGCTCCTGGGCCCCATTGTGTGTGTGTGTGTGTGTGTGGGGGGGGGGGAGGAATGAGAAAAGACCAACTGTCTCCCCTTCAAGCATGTTGTAGGAGTCGACTAACTGGGAGCTTCCTTCAAAGTTGAAGTGCATCTGCCTGAGTGGCAAGAAACCAACAGTCTGCACAAAAATAAGCCAGATGTGCATGCAACACTCAAGTTCTGTAACAAGACTAAAGTCCAGAAGTGGATGAACAACCAAAACTGTAGGCTGGAGTTTACAGCTGGTGAACGTGAAGAAGAAGAAGAAGAAATCACTTTCACGTCACTGTTATATCTTTCCTGGCACTTTATTATACGGTAATTTTCATCACATAATTATGCTATACAGCAATGTGATATGGTAGTTTCTCACATATGCAATAACTTGTTTCTTAGTATTAAATTTACATAATAATATGTGTCTCTTTCATTATTAGTTGGCAATCTTTAATGTAATATTACATAAGATGATAGTTTTTATCTCCTTATCAAATACTGCCAAACTATTTTAATCTAGTTTTGAACAGAAGATCTACTTTACACTAAACAAAGTCAGATGTTTGTCTAGTAATAAACAGTGATAACAAGCTAGATCAACTGACAGCTTTCATAGTGTAGGTTCTGTGACTCATTTATGGAAGGGGGTGAGGGATGGAAGGGGGTGAGGTGTGGGGGGGGGGGGGGGGGGGGGGGGGGGGGGGGGTGGGCAACTGATGCTCCTTAACACGCACATTGTAAAAAGCCAGATCACAATGTGCCAACCACCATTCTGAAGGTTAAAGCAAAAGGTGAAAAGCAGACGTCTTTAAATCAAAGATCAGCTATCCCGGCAAGTAGTCTCATTTCCCTCAATCTTCACAACTTTCTCTGCTCAATGCCACTGTGTTGCTCAGAACCCTTCTGTCCACAGGTCAACAATGCCTCATCATTCTCTACATTCTCAATGCCACTGTGTTGCTCAGAACCCTACTGTCCACAGGTCAACAACGCCTCATCATTCTCTACATTCTCACTGCCACTGTGTTGCTCAGAACCCTTCTGTCCACAGGTCAACAATGCCTCATCATTCTCTACATTCTCAATGCCACTGTGTTGCTCAGAACCCTTCTGTCCACAGGTCAACAACGCCTCATCATTCTCTACATTCTCAATGCCACTGTGTTGCTCAGAACCCTTCTGTCCACAGGTCAACAACGCCTCATCATTCTCTACATTCTCAATGCCGCTGTGTTGCTCAGAACCCTTCTGTCCACAGGTCAACAACGCCTCATCATTCTCTACATTCTCAATGCCACTGTGTTGCTCAGAACCCTTCTGTCCACAGGTCAACAATGCCTCATCATTCTCTATATTCTCAATGCCACTGTGTTGCTCAGAACCCTTCTGTCCACAGGTCAACAATGCCTCATCATTATCTACATTCTCAATGCCGCTGTGTTGCTCAGAACCTTTCTGTCCACAGGTCAACAATGCCTCATCATTCTCTACATTTTCAATGCCACTGTGTTGCTCAGAACCCTTCTGTCCACAGGTCAACAACGCCTCATCATTCTCTACATTTTCAATGCCACTGTGTTGCTTGCAATCAACAATCTTGTCAATACTGCCTTATTGGTCTCTAAGTTCTCAGCATAAGGCTGACACTTTTTGTTTCCTCATCTGCTGCTTGTAAAGTAATATTTACACTGAGTTGTCTGGTTGTTATGTATGTTGCTGTGGTGAAGACTTTCCGAGTTTTGTATGGAAATGATCTCTGTTGTCAACTGTAACATTACCCCAACCATTCACCTCACCCTCACATGCACGTGGACACAAACACAAAAAACTAAACAGAAATGGTGAGAACTGCTGTGCCCAGGATCAGTTTACCTCACAGAAAACAGTGTTTCCAAGACATTGTGCCGCTTTAAGTCTGAAGTAGGTGGAATCAAAGCCACACCCAAGGGAGATGATCTGAAATAAGGGAGACAATCATACATTTATTTATCCCTTCATAAATTTATTATCCCTTCACTAATTCCCTTACCCCTTCACATATTTAATTATCCCTTCACTAATTCCCTTACCCCTTCACATATTTAATTATCCCTTCACTAATTCCCTTACCCCTTCACATATTTAATTATCCCTTCACTAATTCCCTTATTACTTCATAACTTTATTTATCCCTTCGCTAATTCCCTTATCCTTTCTTCATCATTACGTCCTTTTTAGGACGTAATTTTTTTTTATTTGAAGCCCCACTCTGGCTTTTAGGGCCGCACTATAGGCCTTAGGTCCTTCACTTATGGCCAAATGCCTTGAACGCGGTTTTCTGGGACCTTCACTCCCACGGCTGGCCGCTTCCTTTCTCAGATTCTCTCTTGCCTCCATCACTTTATTGGTAGCTAGAAGATCCTTGCGTAGCTGGGTGTTTTCTTCACTAGCTATGGTTAGCTTCTCTTCTGTTACTGCCAAAGTATTCAAGAAAATATGGCGACTTGGGTCAGGTTTAGTGCCAGGGTTTCTTATTGTCGTTGGAGACTGATCTCCTCTTTTTTAGCGGATTGGGCATTCAGTTCTTTCTGCCTCTTGATGTTGTTTAGCATAGCCGTGACGCTTGACTTAAAATATGTCATGTCTGCTACCTCAGCTTCCAGAAGACTTGGACAACAGAGGGACAGAATGTTGTATCACTTGAACACGTTGAATGTACTGGAAGAATGATGTCAACAGTGGGAGACAATGCTGGCTGGGCTGACTAAGTATCAGGTAAGAGAATCAGTCGTGAATTTATTCACAGTACAGGAAACGGACTTGTGGAAGAATGTGATCATCTGTGTTGCATGGCACGGCACACAATGATGATGTTTACCTAGGACAAAACGGTATCACTGACTAACCCTCAAGAACATGCAAATAAACATACCTGTTTCTTGGAGTGTGCATACAGTCCGAGAAAGTTCTTCAGTAACCTGTCAAAGGCCACAGCCCGGATGTAGTACCCTCTGTCAGAGAGAGGTACAGCAAAATAAGATTCATTATGTCAGCAAAGAAGTGATGATATGACATCACGACGCGGGAGTATTCAAATGACATGACAACATGTGAGTGTTCCAATGACATGACGATAATACATGAGTGTTCATATGACATCACGCATGACTGGCACACCTCCAATAATTGCAAATATTCCAGTCACCAACAACTCTTCACATCCAAATCGTCAAGCACCACCTGCCTCCATAGTAAAAGTTGTCTGTGATAAACACCCTTCCCACATGCCTCCACAGTAAAAGTTGTCTGTGATAAACCCCCTTCCCACCTGCCTCCACAGTGAAAGTTGTCTGTGATAAACACCCTTCCCACCTGCCTCCACAGTGAAAGTTGTCTGTGATAAACACCCTTCCCACCTGCCTCCACAGTGAAAGTTGTCTGTGATAAACACCCTTCCCACCTGCCTCCACAGTGAAAGTTGTCTGTGATAAATCCCCTTCCCACATGCCTCCACAGTGAAAGTTGTCTGTGATAAACCCCCTTCCCACCTGCCTCCACAGTGAAAGTTGTCTGTGATAAACCCCCTTCCCACCTGCCTCCACAGTGAAAGTTGTCTGTGATAAACCCCCTTCCCACCTGCCTCCACAGTGAAAGTTGTCTGTGATAAACCCCCTTCCCACATTCCTCCACAGTGAAAGTTGTCTGTGATAAATCCCCTCAACACATGCCTCCACAGCGAAAGTTGTCTGTGATAAACCCCCTTCCCACATTCCTCCACAGTGAAAGTTGTCTGTGATAAATCCCCTCAACACATGCCTCCACAGTAAAAGTTGTCTGTGATAAACCCCCTCAACACCTGCCTCCACAGTGAAAAGCTGTCTGTGATAAATCCCCTCAACACATTCCTCCACAGTAAAAGTTGTCTGTGATAAATCCCCTCAACACATGCCTCCACAGTAAAAGTTGTCTGTGATAAATCCCCTCAACACATGCCTCCACAGTGAAAGTTGTCTGTGATAAATCCCCTCAACACATGCCTCCACAGTAAAAGTTGTCTGTGATAAATCCCCTCAACACATGCCTCCACAGTGAAAGTTGTCTGTGATAAATCCCCTCAACACCTGCCTCCACAGTGAAAGTTGTCTGTGATAAATCCCCTCAACACCTGCCTCCACAGTGAAAGTTGTCTGTGATAAATCCCCTCAACACATGCCTCCACAGTGAAAGTTGTCTGTGATAAATCCCCTCAACACCTGCCTCCACAGTAAAAGTTGTCTGTGATAAATCCCCTCAACACATTCCTCCACAGTAAAAGTTGTCTGTGATAAATCCCCTCAACACCTGCCTCCACAGTAAAAGTTGTCTGTGATAAATCCCCTCAACACATTCCTCCACAGTAAAAGTTGTCTGTGATAAATCCCCTCAACACATGCCTCCACAGTGAAAGTTGTCTGTGATAAATCCCCTCAACACATGCCTCCACAGTGAAAGTTGTCTGTGATAAATCCCCTCAACACCTGCCTCCACAGTAAAAGTTGTCTGTGATAAATCCCCTCAACACATGCCTCCACAGTGAAAGTTGTCTGTGATAAACACCCTTCCCACCTGCCTCCACAGTAAAAGTTGTCTGTGATAAATCCCCTCAACACATGCCTCCACAGTGAAAGTTGTCTGTGATAAACACCCTTCCCACCTGCCTCCACAGTAAAAGTTGTCTGTGATAAACACCCTTCCCACATGCCTCCACAGTAAAAGTTGTCTGTGATAAACCCCCTTAAGTCCTTCCCCCCCCCCCCCTCCACACACACACGCAGTGAAGTTGTCTGTGATAAACCCCCTTAACTCCTGACCCCCACAGTGAAAGTTGTCTGTGATAAACCCTCTCACCCCCTGCTCTTGTCTTCCTGATGTACTCAGACAAGCACAACCAGATCATCTCGTCCTCCTTTCTACACATCCAGATCACCTCGTCCTCCTGTCTATACATCCAGATCACCTCGTCCTCCTGTCTACACATCCAGCCAACCTCGTCCTCCTGTCTACTCATCCAGCTTACCATAGTGGATATGTGTTAAAAGTTACAGCAAGACAAACACGTACCGCAAAAGCTTACACTCATCAGCACAATAATAAGGGGAGAACATTACCCAAAAATAACAGAAAACATGAGGGAAAAACAACCTAAAAAATGTGAGGGAAAAACAACCCCAAAAATGCAAGGGGGAACCCACAAAATGTGAGGGAAAAACAACCCAAACAAATACGAGTGAAAAATAACACCAAAAATGTGAGGGGAAAGCCCCAAAAATGCAAGGGGAAAACAATAAAACAAAAAATGTGAGGGAAAAACAACTCACAAAATACATTTAAAATGACTACAGAAGCAGAAGATAAGCTTGAAGACATGGTTGCCTCAGGTTTGCTGAGAACATAAAATCATAGATTCTAAAGTAATAATTTAAGGAAACTCACCGGTGTATCAGAGGTGCTCTCCTGCTCAGTTTGGACACAAAGTAGTGAAGAAATGGGTCGCTGAAGTAGCCACATGAGGCGGTGGAACATTTGCTCACAATACTGCTGTCATTGGTACCCTGGACCTGATGTATGTAACCAACAAGACATTCATCAGCTCCTTAGCAACAATGGACAATATCACAGCTCAGCTAACTGCTGTTTTCTTGGGTCTCTCTCTCTCTCTGAGCACGTGCGTGTGTGCAGGTATGGATTACGTATGAGAGATAAATACGTCAAAGTCCTCAAAATATGCATAATTACGTTTTAGCTATATCAAATATTGTCTTTATTAACACAGGGATGTCCTGTGTGAGAAAAATCAAAGCCAAATGAAGATTCCACAATGATTTGCTGCAGGGAGAACTTAGTTTTTGATGAGGAGATTTAGAGATGTGGAGATTCAGAGATGTGGAGATTCAGAGATGTGGAGATTCAGAGATGTGGAGATTCAGAGATGTGGGAAGTAAGATTGCTCACAATAAATCAGCAAGGAAGTTTAAGTGAAACCCTTGAAGGAAGAATGGGAAAGTTGTTTGCTCATACACTATCCCAGTAAAACTGTTTTCAACCAACAAAAACACCTCAATTGAACTACTGTATAAATACTTGAGCTGATTGGGAGACTAGAGACCTACAAGCAGACTGGAGAGAATGATACCTGGCAAAGTTGCTAGAGGTAGGAGACTTGAAGGACACGTAGACAACAGGGAAAGGATTTTCTTGCCAGTTTTAGCGGAAATAAGCAGGATTACCCTGAAGAGATACCAGCAGACTGACTTGCGTACATCTCATATCAATTGTTGGATGTAGCTTAGTGCAACAAAGCCTGACAGATGCTACAACATCCAATTTGAGAATGGAAGTAGTGGGGGCCACTATAGCCTTCCACTGGCTTGAGAATCAGCTGTACACACACATCGTAATTATAACTGACTCACAGAGAATGATGAGAACAGTGAACAGGGTATGCTTCGTGCAGAGTGGCAAGCATCACTTCAGAGATACCAGTTAGTAGTGTACTTTGGATATTTTCTCCAGGAATGCTGGTGTGTTTGGAAACAAACAGACAGACAATCTGGCTGGTTTTGCACCACTTGGTGGTATACAGATAGATGAGAAGCCAGATATTATAAGGGTCCTCGGGGGGGGGGGGGGGCTGCACAGTGCAGAGGCACAAGTAGATTTATGGTCTGAGAAGAATGGTGCTGCAAGGAGAGACCGAGGGATCTGGCCAATGCTCAAGACTCAAGAGAAGGGTGAGACGGACAATACAATCCAGACTGTTACTGGTACCATTGGAGTTGGAGACTGCTGCTGAAGATAGGGAGAGAGTGCTTGTGGGAATGATGTTCTGAGTGCTGTGATGACGATGTAGATTCTTCAATTAACACTGTAATTTGATTTCTTGAGCTCATTTTCTCTATCAAATCAATTCTTGGCTCTCCTGTCAACTTCGGCCGGTAGACAAACATCGACGGCCGGTTAGTCAGAGTTATGTCCCCTTGCTACAGTGCAATTACGGACTGGAGACGGCACGAATCAAAAAACGCAGTGAGGTCGACATGCAGACCCCGCGCTGTCGATGTTTGTCTACCGGCCGAAGTTGACAGGAGAGCCCAATTCTCTTGCCCTTAACCTAACCAACCTAAACTGATTTTGGCTAGCTGTGATTTTAAAATCTGCTGTGAATTGACACTAACAGAACTGTGTAACTGTGTGTGTGTTTTTAAAGTTAAAGCACTCACACTGCATAGATAAAATATAACTTTTTTGAAACATATCTGGATTTCATTTCAAGTCACTATTTTTCGTGATTTTCAAAAAACAATGATACAACGTTACTTGAATACGCTAACTAACTAAGGCTAGCTAAGGCAGGGGCTACTCACTGCAGTTTCACGTCTGGTTTTGTTGGTTTTCCTGGCTGATTCGCCTTCCATAACACGAAACTTTATCGTAATGTTATATTATCTCTGGTATATTTGCTGAGGAGCTAATCACTGATGTGATGACAGTTGTCTATATCGGACGTACAATGGTAACCTCGCTAACAAATTACTTTCCTCCTTTCCAACATCACCACTATCTGCTCACGGCGGCGGCCATGTTTGTTGTCAGAAAATGTCAACAATTTTTGTTACGGAACAAACTTGAATATAAAGACAATACCAAACTGCTGTGCACGCAACAGGACATCAGTAGATATCTCTCTCCCAGTAGCGTCGGGGAGGGGAGGGGCTGGGGGGGGGGGGGGGGGGCGCACGCAATCATTGAGGGGGTGACAAAATGACAGAAATTAGTTTTTTTTTTAGTTTTCAAATATGTGTGGGGAAGGGAGGGGTGAGAAAACTGCATAAATAAGTGTTTTTACGCTCGTCTGTGCTACCGGGGCTCTCATGGGAATCAAAGAGTAGTAACACTGCACATGTCGTAAGAGGCGACTGAGGGTATTCTTGGGGTTGGCTACCTAACCTTGTAAAAACAATATCCACAAAACCAAAAGACCATTGAAAAGACTAAAACAATAACCAATAAACTACAAACATTTATTAACTGGTGCTTACGCAGAATATAGGAAACTGAATTGTTTAATAAAATCACTTATGTTGAACTTTCGAAGAGAACTAAACAAGTTTAAGTGGAGCAAGAGGTGAAGAAAAAAAAACCGCTGACGTTGGATAGGACAGACGTTGAGAAAACATGAGAACACTATAATAAGGATGTCTTCGCCCTGGAACCCACAGGGGCATAGAAATAATGGTAGGGGAAAACAAAGAATTGAGCTAGAGAGCGCAGCTAAAAAGATGGGGAGAGCTACATACAATAGCTAAGGACGGAACGACTTTGAGTGATTGGTTCAAGATATATGCTCCATTTGGAGGTGGAAGGTAGAATAATGAGTGTTTTTAACAATTACAAAATATAGATGGAGAAAGGGAGGGTTGACAAAATGGCAAAACAAGCGTTATTAATATGTGTGTGTGTGTGCGCGCGCACGTGTGTGTGAGAGAGAGAGAGAGAACACATAAAATATTCTGTTCAGGGTACCCCCTGACCTTGCTTCGATCCCCCCTCCCTCTTTCCCAGCAGGGCATAAGCCCTCACAAGATTGGAATCAACCATTTCAATTTTCTTCTCCCTCCCTTGGGTCTTGTGCCATAACTTGCTATGTGTGCACGTACGTTTTACGGATCCAGCTTATTTGTGTGCAAACTGACAATTTCTCGTCTCTCGACTGATGCACTCTGAGTTCAAAGAAATCGACCCTAATAATACGCTTTTACGACATGCTTGTTGCTGGCTTAGAGGAGGGCCTATTCTTACCCTTACCTACCCACCGGGTCCGAGGAACTCGCCCATGACCTTTCTGTCTGCCGACGTCTGCAGTCAGTAAATATAGTGACTTTAAGACAAGGTCCAGGTTCAAGTCGAGGCCACCGATGCAAGCAACGCTGAACGCCTGAAACAAGACCGAGGTCTAGACGCGGACACACAGCCTGGACTTTGTGCCGGAGTTTACAGCCTGTCACCGTGAGTAAGATTGATTCAACTCAACTGTACACTAAAACAGGAGAATACTGTTGTTGAGAGGACCGGTATGTCATTTCTGAGCTCACCATTGCTGTTTGTCACAGTGTCAAAGTTATGTTCATCCTTATGTGTGTCAAGGTTATGTGTTTCATTATGTTTATATGTGTTTCATTATGTTTTATCATTCTGTCAAATTTATGTATATCAATCATATTGTAAAGATTATCTTTATTACTGTGTTAAGGATATGAATATCATAATGATTATCACTGTGTCAAGGTTATGTATATCATTATGTTTATCACTGCATCAAAGTTTATCATCATGTTATCACTATGTCAAGATTATGCTTATCACCGTGTCATATGTTTACCATATGTTCTTATTTGAGCTTTCTTGTTCTATCATAGGGTTCTACGAGCACTTTATGTTCTTGTCTGATCGCTCTTCTTCTACCCTAGGGTTGTACGAGCACTTTATGTTCTTGTCTGATCACTCTTCTTCTACTCTTGGGTTGTACGAGCACTTTTTGTTCTTGTCTGATAGCTCTTCTTCTACCCTAGGGTTGTACAAGCACTTTATATTCTTGTCTGATAGCTCTTCATCTACCCTAGGGTTGTACGAGCACTTTATATTCTTGTCTGATAGCTCTTCTTCTACCCTAGGGTTGTACGAGCACTTTATATTCTTGTCTGATAGCTCTTCTTCTACCCTAGGGTTGTACGAACACTTTATGTTCTTGTCTGATCACTCTTCTTCTACCCTAGGGTTGTACAAGCACTTTATGTTCTTGTCTGATCGCTCTTCTTCTACCCTATGGTTGTAAGAGCACTTTACATTCTTGTCCGTTCTGTTCTTCTACCATAGGGTTGTAGTAGCACATTATGTTCTTTTATGATCTCTACTCTTCTACCCTAGGCTTGTAAAAGCACTTTATATTCTTGTATGATTTCTCCTCTTCTACCCTAGGGTAGTAGAAGCACTTTATGTTCTTGTATTTCTCCTCTTCTACCCTAGGCTTGTAAAAGCACTTTGTTCTTGTGTGATCTCTCCTCTTCTACTCTAGGCTTTTAAAAGCACTTTACAATCTTGTATATTCTTTCTTCTACCCTAGGGTTGTAGAAGCACTTTATGTTCTTGTGTGATCTCTTCTCTTCTACTCTAGGATTGTACAAGCAATTTATGTTCTTATATGATCTCTCTTCTTCCACCCTAGGTTTGTGGAAGCACTTTATGTTCTTTTATGATTTTTCCTCTTCTACCCTAGGCTTGTAAAAGCACTTTATGTTCTTGTGTGATCTCTCCTCTTCGACTCTAGGCTTTTAAAAGCACTTTATGTTCTTGTATGATATCTCCTCTTCTACTCTAGGCTTGTAAAAGCACTTTAATGTTCTTGTATGATCTCTCCTCTTCTACCCTAGGCTTGTAAAACACTTTATGTTCTTGTGTGATCTCTCTTCTACCATTAAGTTGTAGAAGCACTTTATGTTCTTGTATCTCTCTTTCTCTACCCTAGGGTTGTAGAAGCACTTTATGTTCTTGTAAGATGTTTTTTTTCTACTCTAGGGTTGTAGAAGCACTTTATGTTCATGTATGATCTCTCTTCTTCCACCCTAGGGTTGTAGAAGCACTTTATGATCTTGTATGATCTCTCCTCTTCTACCCTAGGGTTGTAGAACGACTTTATGTTCTTGTATAATCTCTTCTCTTCTACTCTAGGATTGTAGAAGCACTTTATGTTCTTGTATGATATCTCTTCTTCTACCCTAGGGTTGTAGAAGCACTTTATGTTCTTGTATGATATCTCTTCTCTTCTACCCTAGGGTTGTAGAAGCACTTTATGTTCTTGTATGGTCTCTTCTCTTCTACCCTAGGGTAGTAGAACCACTTTATGTTCTTGAATGATCTCTTCTACTCTAGGATTGTACAAGCAATATATGTTCTTATATGATCTCTCTTTTTCCACCCTAGGGTTGTGGAAGCACTTTATGTTCTTTTATGATTTTTCCTCTTCTACCCTAGGCTTGTAAAAGCACTTTATGTTCTTGTATGATTTCTCCTCTTCTACCCTAGGGTTGTAGAAGCACTTTATGTTCTTGTATTTCTCCTCTTCTACCCTAGGCTTGTAAAAGCACTTTATGTTCTTGTGTGATCTCTCCTCTTCTACTCTAGGCTTGTAAAAGCACTTTACAATCTTGTATATTCTTTCTTCTACCATAGGGTTGTAAAAGCACTTTATGTTCTTGTGTGATCTCTCCTCTTCTACTCTAGGCTTGTAAAAGCACTTTATGTTCTTGTATCTCTCCTTTTCTACCCTAGGCTTGTAAAAGCACTTTATGTTCTTGTGTGATCTCTCCTCTTCTACTCTAGGCTTGTAGTAGCACTTTATGTTCTTGTATCTCTCCTCTTCTACCCTAGGCTTGTAAAAGCACTTTATGTTCTTGTATGATTTCTCCTCTTCTACCCTAGGGTTGTAGAAGCACTTTATGTTCTTGTATTTCTCCTCTTCTACCCTAGGGTTGTAAAAGCACTTTATGTTCTTGTGTGATCTTTCCTCTTCTACCCTAGGCTTGTAAAAGCACTTTATGTTCTTGTATCTCTCCTTTTCTACCCTAGGCTTGTAAAAGCACTTTATGTTCTTTTATGATTTTTCCTCCTCTACCCTAGGCTTGTAAAAGCACTTTATGTTCTTGTGTGATCTCTCCTCTTCTACCCTAGGGTTGTAGAAGCACTTTATGTTCTTGTATCTCTCTTTCTCTACCCTAGGGTTGTAGAAGCACTTTATGTTCTTGTATGATTTTATTTTTTCGACTCTAGGGTTGTAGAAGCACTTTATGTTCTTGCATGATCTCTCCTCTTCTACTCTAGGATTGTAGAAGCACTTTATGTTCTTGTATGATATCTCTCCTCTTCTACCCTAGGGTTGTAGAACTACTTTATGTTCTTGTATGATCTCTCCTCTTCTACCCTAGGGTTGTAGAACTACTTTATATTCTTGTATGATCTCTCCTCTTCTACCCTAGGGTTGTAGAAGCACTTTATGATCTTGTATGATCTCTCCTCTTCTACCCGAGGGTTGTAGAAGCACTTTATGATCTTGTATGATCTCTCCTCTTCTACCCTAGGGTTGTAGAAGCACTTGATGTTCTTGTATGATCTCTTTTCTACCCTAGGGTTGTAGAAGCACTTTATGTTCTTGTATGATCTCTTTTCTACCCTAGGGTTGTAGAAGCAATTTATGTCCTTGTATGATCTCTCCTCTTCTACCCGAGGGTTGTATAAGCACTTTATGTTCTTGTATGATCTCTCTTTCTCTACCCTATTGTTGTAGAAGCACTTTATGTTCTTGTATGATCTCTCCTCTTCTACCCTAGGGTTGTGGAAGCACGTTTTGTTCTTGTATGATCGC